AATTTTCAGTGGTACAGGAGTAGCAGATACTATTAAACAAGCCTAGAGTGCCCTCTAGCGGCTGTCAGTGTGAGAATAACAAAAATGTGAACTGTGACTTGTAGTCTGCACAATACGGTAATCCATTTTAACCAATGTTTGGTCATTTCAATTCAACTCTTGAAGAGAAAGTAAGTCTCTCTATACATGTTTTCACTGATATTTGTGTTGTGTGTATTTGTGTAATACTACAGTTTAAACAGAGTATTTTTTTTAATGACCAATTAAAGTATTTCAATGATTAATAATTTACACCTATGGCAAAATTAGGTTAAATTATTATTGACATGTAGTCACGAACCACATGATTTTTATCTCTCCAACAAGGACAGTTATAAGGCTGACAAACAGCCTCTGGATTCATCAACTATCAAAACATTTAGAGTGTAAAATATTAGCTAGGAAGATACAGTCGCTAACAGAGCTTGTTGACAGCTTTAATCAATAATCCAAAAATCCATTTACCACATGTCTTCTTTCCTGTTTCCTGCTGTGGTGGTAATGGCAGGTCAATGAGTCCGGCCCAAGCGGACATGATGTTTTTGGAGAACGCCAAGAAGTTGTCCATGTACGGTGTGGACCTTCACCAAGCCAAGGTGAGAACAGGAGCTGTAGCTTCTCATCTGCTATCTTTATCATCGGGTCTACTCCTTAAAAGAAAAACATAAACGTATACAAATAAAGTGCATCTTTAAACGATTTCACTTCCTAAAGGTCTGGAGAAATGTGAGACAGATATCAATCATACATGTGTTGATGCCTAATAACGTCTCGATACCGTAAATTACATTCACCAGAGACTCTGACGCACGAATACTGTGTGTCGAACTTGAGGCCCGCGGCGCCAAATCTAACCCGCCAAGTCATTTTTTTATGGCCCGTGGAAGCCATCTTAATTTTGTATTTTTTTTTATCATATGGAACAATTTACAATATTTGTAATTTAAATTACTAATAATAATTTGCAACTGTTTGGCTGATGTGGCCCCCTGGTGGATACGAGTTGGCCACCCGTGTACTAATACAACCGATTGACATCCAAGAAGTTCACCAGCAAGAATCAACTTGAATTTGATCGAATGTGCTGTAAACTTGTAAACAAGGATTTTCAAAACATGTTCTACTACATGAGCCAATATTGTTTTGTAGCATTTAGCAGTACACAATGTATTTATATATTCTTACCAAATTATTGAATATAGCGGATAGGTGTAACCTAGTCTTTAGATTTGTGCGGTTTGGAAATCAAAAAGAAAGAAATTTAATGCAGCATGCTGCAAGGTTTTCAGAGCTGTTGGAGGACTGCGCTGCCACCCTGTGGACAACAGTGCATCTTGCACACTGCAACAACAATGCGTTGTTTTTGTTGACTCGGTGACAGTTAGTGGAGCAGAAAATTCAGTATTTGGTTTTGCTGACTGGTTTTGTCTGTCACTTCCTTAGAGTCCCATTAATAATAACACATTAACCATTGTATATTTTGAATATTTTGTTATATCACTGAAGTGAACTGAAGTGATTTTAGGAATTAAAAATAAAGCGTGCTCTCCTATGTTACATTGCGTAGTCATGGGGGTAAATTGGCTGGCCGTCAAGTCAAAATATAATTAATTGCAATTAAGTATTTGATTGAACCATCAATAATTAAGGGTTGTATTTTGAGGAATATCACGATTGGCTTTTATTGTCATAATAGCAGCATCTGAAACATACAGAGACTGGATGCAGCTTCGGCGCAAATTGAACGGAACATCTTGATTCTGTTTGTCAGGATTTGGACGGCGTTGACATCATGCTCGGAGTTTGCTCCAGTGGTCTGATGGTTTACAAAGAAAAGCTGAGGATCAATCGTTTTCCCTGGCCCAAGGTCCTCAAGGTCTCGTACAAACGCAGCAGCTTCTTTGTCAAAATAAGACCATCCGAGGTAACTTCACGTACTTTTCATTACAACTTACGTTGAACTTCAAATCCAGTGCTTCATATCTGTTGTACGTTAGCTCCATTCAACTGTTGACTTTGTATTATACAGTTGTTCCCTCTCTATACCGCCGTTCACCTTTCGCTCCCTCAGTACATCGGTACCGCCGCTCACCTTTCGCTCCCTCAGTACATCGCGGATTTTTTTTTTTCAATCTGAACGCGCGAAATATAGCAAGAAATATACTAACTATGCATACGAAAGTTTTGGCTTTAAAAATGTGGATTTTTGTTTAGAAATTGAGATAAGCGCATTTAGTAGGTTTGTTTACCTAGACGAGATCGTACACAGCATCCTATTGGCTAATTGAGCATGCTCTTCTGTTCCTCACGCTGATCGGCTAATTCAACGTAACCCCTTGACTGTTCGCTACTCTCGCTCTTTGTGTGGGGAAGAGTAATACAGTCTAGGGAGGGTTGATAACAGTGTGGCGGAGGTTCGTAAAGGGAAAATATATATACGTAAATATTATGATAACTATCTCGCCTCTACTTTGCGATTTTTTCCCATTTCGCAGTGGGTCTTGGATTACTTTATTGTATTTTATTATATTATGTATTGTATTATAAACTAAGTGATGTCTGTTTACGCAGGTGGAGCAGTATGAAAGTGCTATTGGCTTCAAACTACACAATTACAAGGCAGCAAAGAAGCTGTGGAAAGTGTGTGTGGAACATCACACCTTTTTCAGGTGGGTTTTTCACTACTTTTTTTTTTTTTTTTACAAGCTTTGTACCCTACAGCTTAAACAACGGTGCGATTTATTCATGGATTTCTACGGGCTAACGCCGTTCATAACGATTGCGATCAATTACCTTTTTGTTAGGCTACTGTGTGTTATAATAGTAGCGTATATATACTGTTTACCTCTGCTGCGGACAAGCACAAAGTGAAGGGAGTTAGCCCCCGGAGCTAATGTTAGCTTCGGCCCTGGAGCAGATCACTAAGTCTGTGCATTCCAAGTACAGTCGGGGCGCCGAAGCAGGAAAGAGCTAACGTGTAACTAGCCGTGTTACAGGCACAGTTCGGGGAAAAAAAGCATTTATTTAATTAAAAGTAAAAAAATATATTTCTGTGTAAATATCTAATGTTACAACGTGGACACCTGTGGCTTAAAGAAAAGTGCGGCCTATGTATGTACGATCATTTTTTTCTTTTTAAATTTAGTGGCTAATATTCCGGTGCGCTTAATCGTCCAGAAATTACGGTACATTAGCCACCAGATCACATTTGGATTTAATATAGCTCAAAATATTTGGACACTAGACAAATGGAGTTTTCATGTCAAACTAAGATGACTAAGATTTCACATTTATTTCAAACCTAACTTTTACAGCTGGCCACATATTGATAGATCAAAATCCAAGTCTGTCCTGTCGTATTTCTCTAATTTTTTTTTTGCTTCAGGCTGAGAATTTCGGGTGTTGTTTGACAGACGCAGTGGACGTAGAGAAAACAACAAATCTCATCGACATTCATTTTAGGCTTTGAGCTCCCGCAATGCTAATTCTGAAGGCCCTAGCGCAGATTTCCTTCACCCTGGCAACTCATGAGGCTTAAATATGATTGGATAAAAAAAAAAACTCTGTGATATGTTTGTGATAAATATATTGAGAATTAAGTCACAGATTCTGACACTGTTTTGACTTTAGGCACTGTAATATACTTCAGAGCTGTGGTTCTCAACCCGGGGTCGGGGACCAGAACTGGTCCGTAGGTCATTTGGTACGGTGCCACAATGTGAAAAAAAAAAACTTCAGTTTTACTCATTTACTTAATTCCAAAAGAATCCAGGCATATCCCTTTACTTTTTTGATTCAAAAATAATAATCCGACAATGTTTCAAAACAACAGGTCATTCAGACTCTGATACTGACAGAATCAAGTCTAAAAGATGTTTGATTCAGAAAGTTTAATGATCCTCAACAAGGGTGCTGTATTACCAGTTGCTTCTAAGGATTTCCCTCGAGTGGCATTTCAATACTGTAAGTGCTGTTAATTAATTTGTGTGGGGTACATTACTTGGTATAAGGTGTTTCAGCCATAAACGTTTTGTAAACTGTTGTAGCTGTATATGGGTAAAATATGGTATGCGTCCGAAGATATGTGCCTAAATGTTGCGCTAGCAAATTCAGATCCATATATTTCCCGTGTCTGAGATCACTGGCAGTGTTCTCGTCTACAGGCTGACCTCGACTGAGATGGCCACCACTCCGAGGAAGTTCCTGGCGCTGGGCTCTAAGTTTCGCTACAGCGGCCGAACACAGGCTCAAACCAAACAAGCCAGCTCTCTGATCGACAGACCAGCTCCTCTGTTCCAGCGCTCATCCAGCAAGAGAAACTCACGCAGTCTAGATGGAGGTACAGTGTGGGTTTGTCGGGGTTTCAGATTTTGTTTTTTTTCAGTCTGTATGTGAACATGGAGGTTTTGTTAATTTCTCTTGTCATTTTGATACAGTCTCTCTCTGTGTGTGACATTAATCAGGGAGTGAAATCAGTGTAGATGGATGGATAGATATATAGATAGATGGATGGATGGATGGATGGATAGATAGATAGATGGATGGATGATAGATGGATGGATGGATAGATAGATAGATGGAT